TTCCTTATTTAAGTGTAAGTAAAAGTCTTATGTATACTATGATATGCACGAGGCCTGATATAAGTCATGCAGTTGGAATGGCAAGTAAATATCAATCCAACTGGTTAAATGCATTGAAAAGAGGTGAAAAAAATCCAAATTATCTTGAAGGCACAACTAATTACTCATTTATTATCAAGGGGTAGATTTACACTTTATACAGATGCTGATTGGGGAGGAGATTTAGATGAGAGAAAATTTACCTCTGGATTTACTTTCTTACTAAATGGTGGTGCCATATGATGGAGTAGTAAGAAATAATCATGTGTAGCCCTTTTCCACAATTGAGGTTGACTTTGTAGCTTTTTCAGTTGTAGTGCAAGAAAATGTTTGGTTAAAAAGGTTTATAGACCATTTAGGAGTCAACGATATTACTAGTAAACTCGTAATTATGAACTGTGATAGTGAAACAACAATAACATATATCAAAGATCCCAAATTTCATGAAAAAAAACGAAGCTCCATTTCAAATTGCGTAGCCTTTGCATTAGTTTTATCAATGTTACATACGAAGTAAAAGGCCTGTTCAGGAATACTGATGTGAGCATAGACATGAATCAAGTTAGCAGAAAGGATATCTCAATACCAGATGGGCCCATTACAATGGGGAGAGCTAAAAGATTATTACAAGTTTTTCAACTTTTTATCCAAGCGTGGATCAATGAAGAAGATGAGTTTGGACCCATTAAAGAAGCCCAAGGAAAGAAGACAACAAGACCAATAACACAAGAGCATAATAGTGTATATATTATTCACCCCAAGTGTAAGAGAAAAATAAGTAAGAAAAGGAAAAAATTATACAAGATATGAAAAATAAAAATTATCATGGGATTTTATTTCTTAATCATGTGGGAAATCTTTACAATTAAATATCCCAAGAGGAAAATTTGCTCATAAATTACAAGCTATCTTGAGAAAGAAAAAAACTCTTTAAATGCCAAATCTAGCACAAAAAAAAAAGAGAAATAAGAAAATATCTTGATCGAATTTCTTTCTCTAAATCAGCTACAATTAATTAAGATATTTTTTATTCAAAAAGTTTTCCTCATAGGAAAATCATATCTAATCATATTTTAGTTATATTCTTCTTAATTTTTGTTAGTTTTTCATTCTAATTTATATTTAATTTTTTATGTAATTTCTACCATTAATTAAAATATTTTTTTCTTTATCATTCACATGGTCTATACTATAAATAGCTTTTCAATTTAGAGTTGTAATTAATTCAGAATTTTTTGCTTATTAATAAAATTCAGGTATACTTGTTTTAAACTTCCAAGTTTGCAAGAGTGAGTGAGTGGGTTTTCGACTAATTTGTTGTGCTAGGAATTGGGATCACTTATTGAGGTAAGTCTCAAAGTATCTTTTCACTTCTAGTTTTTTATTTTTTACCTAATTACCTTAATTTTCACTCCCCTGTTGAGTGCAAGTCAAGTAGAGAGGATTTACTTAGGGTTTTGAGTTTACAATTACTGATGTACATGCAGGATTTTGGATTTTGTTGTTGATCCCGGGTTCCCATTAAAGACCATCTAATTCTCCAGAAATGATCAATTTAAACCCTTTAATTATTTCTATTAAACCAACGCATTTTCCTGGAGAACTGGTAAATATCTTTACTACAAAAAAGAATTGTGATAAGAAACACTCAAATTTTTTCGCTCTTGCTACGGTTAAGCGATCCTCTTCGAATAATTCGTCTAACCCAAGGATAACTATAATGTCCTGAAGTTCTTTATAACGTTTAGCTCTTTGGGCAATTTCATAATATTCCTCACTAATGATCCGAGGTTGGAGGATAGTTGACGTTGAGTCCAAATGATCTACCACCGGGTAGATACCTTTTGGAGCTAATTCTTTTGATAGTACAATAGTAATATTTAAATGTGCAAATATTGTTTAGATATTAAATACAATTTCATGAAGGACATGGTTTCACGAAAAGAAGAGAACATGAAGTACATATATACACACAATATAGCAGTAGATCCATTTACAAAGCCTATATCAAGAGATGCATATTATAGGCATGTTAAATTATTAGGTTTGTGTAAGTGTTAAATTTACTTATATATTATATATTTTCCAACCATATTCACTAGTTATGTTATCAATGAAAGACTTTATTTTTCTTTCTTATTGGCCTTATTTACATTTGTTATAGAGCATACATATACAAAAACACGTGTACACGTCTTGTACATCTATACATTTAGAGAAAGTGTGTCGGACATATATAAGATTGGTCTTCTCACATAGGAAATCACCTTCATTATTTAAAATGACAAAGATGAGACAAACTTAAGCTAATTATCTAGGTGGTAATTGAGAGTCAGCTTAAATATTAATAATTGTCATCATTCATCAGGGTAAGGAATTAAGTCATAATAAAATTGTTAAATTTATGACACTAAGTGAATAATTTAATAATTATCACTTTATCTGTCTTATTATCATATTAGAGTTCTGAAGAGTTAAAAAGGTATGTAACTGAACTCAAGTTAGATGTTAAGTAT